AAGCTTATGTGCCTGATTTATTTCATGGAGACCATAAAGCCTGACACTCTAGACCTTGAATATGCTTTCTGAGTAATGTGAGTGAGGAGGGAACGGGAACTGGGATCTTAAGAATGGAAGATGTTGATGATGGAGAAGAGAATTGGAATATTCTAGACAAGTAAGGAACAGCAGTAAAGTGGGAAGAGCCCTATCCAGGAGTTAGGAGACACAGCTTTTCACCTCTGGTCTGTCCCTGTGCTCCAGCTTCTTGGGTGGCATGGGGCAAGCTACGTCACCATTCTCAGTTTTCATTTCCTTCATAGGACTTAGTTTTTTAATCTCTAAAATGGAATGATAATGACATGTGTTACATAAATCCATTAGTGGTAAGGACTCAATAAGATGATGTATGTAAAACTCCCCACATAGCATCTGGATTGTGGTAATCCCTTAGTAAATATTAATTGTTGTATATTATTATTACTGTACCTTCTATGCCCTGGGGACCCGATGAGTCACCACGCTCTTTGCCACCACTAGCAGGACACACCTCTGCCAGCCACTGGGGCTCATTGAGAAGATTAAGGTCTCCATGATGTAAGCTTTCTAAGAAATTGCTATGAGTTTCATTTGTGAGGAGTTCTTTCCTCTGACTGAGCTTTCTTTCCTATTTCTAGGGTTATTACTTTAGGTTCATTCATCCCCCCCAATTCTCTCCCCCATATTATTATATATACTAATTTCTTATGTGGAATGCAAATAAAATATTAGCATATATAGTTCTACCTCTATAGTATATGTGCTGCCAAAGCAATCACTAGTTCTACCTCTATAAATGATATGGTTTTCTATTTCTATTGTTCTGACACAATGATTAATGGATAATTAGGATGACTGAGAAGACTTGGAAAAACAAAGTACTTTCTATGTTTAAAAATTATTTTTGTTATCATATTTCTCTTTGATATTAAGGATAAAGTTATACCCTTATCCTCTATTCTTTCCTCAAGAATAACTCTAAGAGTGTAGGAGATGGGAAACATTAATTTATCCTTTAACTGTGTTCTTTCAATTCTTTAGTTATAGTATAAATAAGTTCTAAAACTATCCTATCAGAAAAATTCAGTATTCTAAAAATGTGCTTTATTCTGTTCAGGCCACATCCCATGTATTTGTTGAAAAATTGGCAGAGTTTTTAATGGAGTATATACATTTTAAGGAACTACAAACTTACTGTAAGTGTTGGCAGTTTTAAGACTAATTGTATCTAAAATTTAAGGATTCTCAAAGATGTGTTCTTTTTCCCCCTGCCCTCCCTCCCTGCCTTTCCCATCATACCTGATTTTGAATGCTTCTTACTTTCCTGTTGAACCAGAACCCAGTTGCAGCTGATATTATAGAATGCTGCAGTAGCAAAAGGGATTACATCTGTTTGTGCTTTTCACCAGTGACTTGAAGAGTATTAATTCAGAGTAATGTACTGTGCTTTAGTAATGCAGATCTAAAGGAGGTGGGAATTGAGATAGAATGATTAATTGGGGCCTTGTGGTTTAGTCTAGAATTAAGATGTACACATAATTTCTTTAAACATGGAATCCATGGTGTTAACAGAATTGGCACTTTCTCCTCCACCCATCTCGTGGCCTTGTAAATGACAGCAGTGAAGCATAATCTACTAATCCTTCAATGAGAAAAAAAAAAGCCATGGAAAATCTCGCAACATGAATCATATGTGAGTCAATGCTTGCACTATTGGCAGCAGAAGACGTGCAGAAATAAGAAACTCATCTCTACCAAATAGAGAGCACTGACTGAACTCATCAAGAAAGTGCCTCTTTTGCATTTTTCTTTTTGATAAGTGTCAGAGGTATTAAAATAAATAGTATAAATTATTCCCACTGATGGTGATGCTAAAACCCTCACCAGTTTAATCAAGATAAAAGCCCATGGATGGGTTGTTCTCTCAGAACTAGTGCTAGTGGGATCCGGGGAGGGGATACAGGGCTGGGGCCTTTGCAAAAAACAGGAGTCCTCAGTTGGAACTAATGTTTCCTTTATGGTGCAGTTCTCCTGTGCCAGTCCCTATTGCATTGCCCCATCTCTGTCCTGAGATCTTCCTCTTTTAGCAGCTCAGTTGCTTGCGGTAGGTCCTGCACCTCAGATCAGTGGCGCTTCATCGTGTCTAGGCAAATGTGTCTAGGAAGTGGTATACTTAGCTTTCCTTTGTTTCCAGTTCCCATTTGATGGAAAACTGGTCATGTTTTCACTGTCAAAGAACAAATAAAACCATAGACCACGTGTTATAAACTGTCATGGTGTTTTAATCATGTTTTGTAAAGATATACTTTTTTCTTTTGAGCATTAGAATGGGCACTAAAACATGATATGCACAAATCCTTCCGCCTGACCTATGCTCTTAGTCCATTTCTACCCACTTCCTACAAGTCTACCTCTTTAACTCTATTCCAAGTGCCCCAACAGTGTCTCCTAGGAATTAGTCTCATTTGTAGCCAATTGTGCCTCTGTGTTGGAATGAACATTTAAAAGTTCACCTTTTAAATTGGAGCTACAGTACTGAATTACTCATTTTATATTGTACTCAGCCTTGCAAGGCAGCTCTTTAGAAGAATGAATGTCTTCTTAGACAGATTTCTTACTCCTTAGAAGATTGTTATTTTAAAACATTATATCAGGAATCCAATCTGGAGATTCTGATTCAGTGGGTCTGGGATGAGGCCCGGGAATCTGCAGTTTCAACAAGTATCCTGGGTGATTGTTATCATGAGGGGAGTCTGGAAAACAGGGCCTTATTGTTTACTCTACTTTCTGGTTCACTCCCTGCCCCATTCACATAAACATAGACCTCTCGTTTGGAAGAGTTTGAATATGATATAACAATTCTAAATAGAGCCTTACCAAATCAATTATCCTATATTGGTGCATTTAATTAATCACTTGCTCCTTTATGAACTTCTAGTTGTGAAACAACTATAGTGTATTATTTTAAAATCTGGAATTTAATTTATTAGGGTTCTTAGCAGCTCTTCTGAGTAGTAATTGAAATTTTTGGTTCTTTATTTGTTATTTTCAGTTAAAAAGTTTTAAAGAAAGGAGAAATGGGGAATTGTTTCATGGGTATAGAGTTTCAATTCTGTAAGATGAGAAGAGTTCTGGAGATTGGTTGTACATTATTGCAAATATACTTTAACCCTACCAAACTATACCCTTGAAAATGCTTGATATGGCGAATTTTATCAGAATTTAAAACAAAATTTGGGGGAAGTGTCCACTGGTTTCCAGTGTCCAGATAAAGGTCAGAAAGTAAATGTGTACCTATTATGTAGTCCAGTTTTAAAACCTTTCCAAATTTATTAGGTTAGTTAGGTTTTCCAGCAATTCCATTTGTGTTACACAGATAAGGAAGAAGGTCACTTAACTCACAGGCCAATTGTTATGGTCTGAATTGTCCTCCCCTGCCCTAATGCATGCATTGAAACCATACCCCTCAATATGGTGGTATCAGGAGAAGAGGATTTGAAAAGTGGTCAGGTTTAAATGAGGTCATGAGACTGAGGCCCGCAAGATGAGATTAGTGCCCTTATACGAAGAGATACCAGGGAACTGGCTCCTCTCTCCACCTGCGTGAACTGAGGAAAAGCCAGTTGAATACACACTAAGAAGGTAGATATCTGCAACCCAAGAAGGGAGTCCTCACCAGACAACTTTTTTTGTTTTTGGCGGGGGCGGGGGTGGTGGTCCGGGGATCAATCTCAGGACCTTGTAAGGCAGGCGCCAGAACCACTGAGCTAAATCCCTGGCCCACCAGACACCTTTTGTGGCCTCCAGAACTGTGAGAAATGTTCCTGTTGTTTAAGTCAACCATCTCTGGTATTTTTCTAATAGCAGCCCAAACTGACTAAAACACCACCTTGTCTTCCTTGGCATGGGTCACTCTGTGAGAGAGCTCAGGATTCTGATGCACATTCTTGTTTTTTCTGGATACAAACTTCTGTCCTGTCATGTTTTCCTGACTCCTTCTAGAGAGTTTGGATCTGGAGTGTGCCCCCAGAGACTTGTATGTTGAAGGCTTAGTCTCCAGCTTGGTACTGTGAGGAAGTGGTGGACTTTCAGTGGGACCTAGTAGAAGGCCTTCAGGCCATTGGAGGCTTGCCTTGAAGGAGACTGTGGGGCCCTGGTATCTTGTGTGCATGTGCTCTGTCTCTTCCTCTCTCTCTCTCCTTTCTGGCCATGAGGTGAGCGGTTTTGCTCTACCAAGTGTTCCCACCATGATGTGCTGCCTTGCCTCAGGCCTGAAGCAGCAGAGCCAATCAATCATGGGTCAGAGCCTCTGAAACTGAGCCACAATAAACCTTCTCTCTCTAGAAGTCCATTGTCTCAGGTATTTATTATACTGATAGAAATCTAACACAGCCTCCTTTCTCTTTGTGCTGCAGTAGTACGAGGGCACTCTGTTATCTTTTCCCTCTACTCCTTTCCTGCAAAGAGTGCAACTTTCAGGCTGAGGACCTCCTGAAGAATCCATCCCATTCGAAGAAAGAAAGTACTCATTTTTTAAAGTGAAGCCTCACCTTCCAGCCCAAGCATTTTAAGATGGCACAAATTTTCCACTCTTTCCAAATTCAGCAGCCCTGGGAGTACTTCTTCCCTGAGGTCTAGCCATAGAGGACACATGTTCCTCTGCACTGCCGGTACAGGCTCTCCCTTGGCCTCTCCTGCCAGGGCTAGAATACTGCTTCATGAGGGCATAGGTGACTGCAGCTGTCTTGAGGGAGGTGAGGCTGAAGCTTCTGTTTAGTTAAGTGGCTCAGGAAAATCTGTTACTCTCTTCCCATTGAATAGTACTGTAGGGGCCTTGCACTACCTGCCCCAACATCCTTATTCTCACCCCTTATCCAGTCTGGACTTCTAAAAGGAAGTTAAAATTATAAACATCTCAATTTGCTTTCACATAGCTTCTCTCATCTCTGACTATCAAAACTTTCTTAAACAGCTTTTTATTTCTTTCAGTTTCAGCTGACTTTTGAAGAGAAATGTTTTTGCCTCAGAGTTTTCGGAAACATCTCCTTGATAAAGGTGTGCCTTAGTTACTTTTCTCATTGCTGATTCAAAATACCCAACAGCCAAAGTCAAAGGCTCACAGTTTGTCAAGATTTCAGTCCATAGTCCAAACCAGCATGGCATGGCAGAGGGACATCACAAAGGAGAACCAGCTTACAGCAAGCCAGCAGGAGACAATGAAGCAGCAAGCAGTGAAACAGCAGAAGCAGCCTTCTTGCGGCCCCTTTATATTCTATCCAGGCTGTAAACCCAGGGTGGGGCAGCCTTAATCCCAGCATCACATCCTTAATCTCAGTATCACACACTCTAGATCCAGCCACCTTCAAAAAGCCCCACCTATCACTTTATGAGTTTTGGGGGGAACATCGAGATATAAGCCATAACAAGGTGGAATAAGAAAGTATAGGAAATGTTCTCTTTCACTAACTGATTCCGAAATTATTCATTTAGAAACATTTGAAAATCAAGTGGAAGCTTCAGAACTAGGTGACTCCAATGTGATCAAAACCGAAAACAGCTGGAACTAACCGTCCTTAAACTGGCATGCTGGAGATGGGTGTGGCTACACTACAGGTAATAGTCATGGGAAAGATCAAGGCGGAGTCACCTTCAGGTACAGAATTTCACAGACTGCTCAGTCTCTAGATGAGGGGAGTACCTTCAGGAAAGAGCTTTAAAATCTAATTTTCCATTAAGGTACATATTGATTGATTTTATATTGATTTATTGATTGTGGATTTCATTCATTCGTGTATTTGTTTATTCATTCAAAAACCATATCTGAGTGCCTGTCTGCCATGTATCAGGCCTGGGCAAGACTTTGGTATTAGCACAGTAACCAAGCCAGGCAGGATCTCTGACCTCCGGGAGCATGTATTTGAGAGAAAGCCAATAAAACAACCAATAAATAAATAAGTAGACTGTGATAAATGCCATAAAGCAGATGGATAACATGGTATGGTGTTAATAATCAAGCTAGGCATCCTGAAATAACAAGTTGCCCAGCTTTGGTTTTCTAATGCTTTACTTTCTGTACCTTCCCTAACTCACCTTTAAAATAAGTCATCAGACAATCACTGTATTTGTGCTTTTGTTATTGCAAATAAACTGGCCCCCTCACTATCTTATTTTAAAGTGTCTCTTGCATGTTAGAGTTCTTTAAAGTAGATCGCACTTTACAAATAAATCATAGGATCATTTCTTTTAAACTTTTTATATGTATAAAATATGTTTCAAGATCATTAAAAAGGTGTTGGCTGCATTCAAATGAGTGATGTTAATTCCCTGAAATAGTATTGGCAGAAAAGATGGGAAATAAAATCAGCCAACAACTAAGTTATGGACTATGGGAGAATGTCATAACCTCATCTTCGCCCAGGACATCTTGCTTTGCGGCAGCCAGCACTCTGACCCTCCTTCAGGTCTGGCTTTCCAGGACTGATTCAAGGTTACAAGGAGTTCACCTTGGGATCTTATCTCTAATTTTTTTTTTTTTTGGTATCAGGGATCGAACCCCATCTTATCTCTAATTTGCCTCATTCATATAAATGTTGCCTGGCTGAGATGAGTCAGACCTTTAAAATGATATTTATATGGGTTTTTATGAGTTCTTTGTCTTAGAATATAAGTTAAATTGCTTGTCTATGTAAATGCTGTCTTCAATTTTTGTTTTTACTGCAACATAAATGAGATTTATATGAATTAAAGTCAACAAGAAGGCTCCCCACCTAAAGCCCATGCCCAAACAATAAATTATAACTAGTATTTAAAACAACCAGTCTGGTGTTGAAGAAACTGAGTGGCTTTTTCCAAGTAGAAGAAAGACAGGAGAAGTTTTCAATATTAATGAGCAGTTCTGCTTTAATTCTGCTGGGAGGCATGCTGACGGCACACAAGGCTGTGTTATATTGGGTTGCAACATCTGTCACTGGCTAACATAGAAGCTAATCTTTTATTTCATATTTAGATTTATCAATATGCATTAAAAACCCTCCATTTTTGCAAGTCTTTCTGGGAAAGATGTACTTTATCTTGGTTTTTTAGTTTTTTCTCTTTCTAAAAATAAAAGTTCAATTTAAAACACATTTGTCACTGGGTAGCAGGCAACATCTGGCAGCAGGTGGTAAGAACTTGTTATACATGCAGATGACCAAACAGCTTTTCTCCAAGGGAAGCTTAGAGTTGGTGAGAGAGGGGCTCGGAATTTAAATTTAAATTCACCAATTCCCATTTTGAGCCACCCCCACCTACAAGAACATTTAGAAGATAGTGCTCTGTCATTCCATTAGGATAGCTGCTCAGTCTTTGTATATTTCCCTGGGAGGGGCTATAAAGCCTGATCCCCAGAGTCTAGGCCTTTAAACCAGGATCTCATTGCCTGACCTGCTTAGGAGTCCAGGCACATGCACAGTGTCTAAAGGTCTAAGCAAAATGATAGGAGGCCTGGCCCCAGCGAAAATCTAATGATTTCGTCTATCTGTAGCAGAAAATGAATACAGAAGGGATTTCTTCCTCCAGATCCACTTTGAGGTTCCTGTGTATATTGAAAGTGTAAGAAATGTGCAGTGTCACCCATTGCTGCTTATTTCACATTTATAAAACATGAATATTCCCAATGTGAACTTTATAACAACTGACATATTTTATCATATTCAGTCTCTCAGTGATTCACAAGGGAATTAGTGTACCTTTCATTTTTTTTTTTTCATGTAGGCAAGGAAATTAGAATGAATCTATCAGATTTAATTCAATTGAGCCCATAGCCAAAAGAAGTCAAAGAAAAAAAATCAAATACTGGGTCTAAATTAAAACTATTTTCATCTAGATGGAATGGTATTACCAGCTCTTCTGCCTCCAAGAAATAGAAATATAAAGAATAAACTTCTGAAATCTCTGAATCCCAGCAGAAATACAGGCTGGCAGAACACATACAGTGTCCTGCTCCCTCGGCATGAATTTGCTGCTGACTGAAGGTTGCAGTGAAGGTGAGCAACTGCTCAGAAACCAGGACTGGTTTTATCCTTTCCTAGTGGCCAGGTTCTTGGTCTTTTGGAGAACACCTAAGGGTTTACTACCTGTTGGACCACAGACTTCAAGCCAGCAAACATTTTCCAGTAAGGAATGGAGTCTGAGAGCCACATCCTGTCCCCAAGTCCCACTATTTTCAAAGTTTCAACTAATGGCTCGAATCTAATCCCATAGGCACATATTTTGTCAACCTGTATTTTGAAGACAGTGGAACTCATCAGCTATAACCTAAAGCTGAATGTAGCCAGAAAACAGTAAGAAAACAGGCAAGAATTTTTCTTGTCCCTTTTGTCTATGTTTCCAACTTTTCTTTCCACAGTCTCATCTACTTCTGAGTTCTTTTAATTGCCTTTTGACTATGACTGTGTCCACTGTGTATCAAGGAATTTAATCACTTAGTCTGGACTTTGCTTCTGGGAGCCTAAAGACACTATTAGAAATATATTATAAAGCGTGGTAATATCACAACCAAAACAAATTGCCAAACTCAAAATCACAGGAAAGGACACATGGACATAATCTCTACTCATAAAAAGTATTATTGCTTGGGAAATTTTTTCTTTATTAACTTTGTATTTTGACATCATTTTAGGCTTTAAAAATTTAAAAAATGTAGATTGTATATCTTTTACCTAGATTCCCCAAATTTTAATGTTTTATACAATCACAGTGATGTGAATAAAATTATCAAAATCAGGAAATTAACTTGATACAATGCAATTATCTAATCTTCAGACACTCAAAGTTTGTCCATTGTCCCATTAAAGTTCTTTTTATGGCCCAGAATTCAATCAAGAATTTCATGTTATATTTAATTATACTTGTTCATAGTTTCCTTTAATTTTTTTTTTCTTTTTGTACCTGGGATTGAACTCAGAACCTTGCACTTGCGAGGCAGGCACAGCACCACTGAGCTAAATCCCAGCCCTATAGTTTCCTTTAATTTACAATGCTTCTTTAGTCTTCCTTTGCCTTTCATGACCTTGACACTTTCAAAGGGAAGTGCCCCTCAATTTGGGCCCATCTGATGGTTCTTGGTGGTTAGATTCAGTTGTACATTTTGATGCAGGTTTCAGGACATTGATATATCCTGTTACTGGTGAGATTAACTCTAATTCTTTGGTTAAGGTTGAGCAGTGGTTACCACTATGGTTACCTTTTCCTCTTTGCAAATACTAAGTATCCTATAAAGAGATATTTTGAGACTATCCTGTTCCTCATCATACATTCACCCATTACTTTCAGCATCATTTGATGATTCTTATCTGAAACAATAATGACTGTGATGTTTTCCATAAGGTGATTTTCTAATTTCATTATTTCTTTTTATGTATATTTATTGGAATTATATGAACAGGGAGAACTCTTTCTCCTCTATTTATTTATTTATTTATTTCATGTCAAACATTTCAATGTACTTTGAACTGTCTGTAAGGATACCTGACACATGAGTACCACCATCCTTGTAAGATTAGACACTAAAATCGATGTTCCTCAGCACAGGAGAGAGGCCTAACATGACCTCACTGACCCCATGTACCTCACTGCACCTGATCACCCCACACAGCTGGTTTCTCACCTGATCATTCCTGCTTACACTGTACCCTCCCCAACTTGCCTACAACCTCTTGTCTTCTGTTTTTTGGTTTTGGTTTTGGTTTTGGTTTGAGACCAGGTCTCCCTAAGTGGTCTAGGCTGGCCTGGAATTTACAATTATCCTTCCTCAGCCTCTCAAATGCTGAGATTATAGACCTGCACCATGATGCCTGCCTCCCTACTATTTCTTCCCTAGGTCGGCAGATCAAAGGCATCTCACCAGGAGGTTATTCCTTGGCCCTTAGACATTCCCAACCTGGCTACCTGAGTGTCCTTCTAAGTCCTTTCATGATATTATTTTTAAATTCTTCTGCTGCTCTTACATACTGTCCTATACTGGTCTGTTTATGTGAATCTCCTCAAAGAGGCTCTAAAGTTCCAGAGGACATAGATTATCTTAGACTCCACAAGAAAGATGGAAGCAACCCTATGGCATTTGTGGTTCTGCCAACAGGAATATTCTTTAGCCTGCATGGTCTGTGTACAGAAATTTTTGGAAGCAAAGGGATATGGTCTTCTGTCCCTTTTTTTTCTTCCCTCATCCATTATAATTTGATTCTCAGGTGCCGGGGATTTAGCTCAGTGGTTCCACCACCTTCCTGGAAAGCACAAGGTCCCGAGTTTGATCCCCAGTACCAAAAAACAGAAACAACAACAATAATTTGGTTCTCAAATTGCCATGGCAATCAACAGTCGTGGAGCACAGATTTATGTATTCACTTAGCCATGAAGACACAAAATTTGAAGGATTTGTCATATCTCCTGATCGTGCCTCAGAAGTTGAGGGCTTATCTTTCAGGTGAGCAGCCATCAGGGTAGGCTACAGACTGGGAATGTGTGTGTGTGTGTGTGTGTGTGTGTGTGTGTCTGACCACATGCTCTTCCAACCTTACATAATAGCTAAAGCAGTATGGCAAAATGTAGATTAAATATGCCATGAGTTGGTGGGGTGATGGCCATATAAGTGATATAAGCTCTCTGGAAAATAATTTGGTGTGCACTAAAATAAGATTCAAATATATTTCTGAACTTATGTCCATAGTTTCAACATATAAAAAAAGAATGACGGCCAGAGATTTAGGTGGTTTCCCCACCTGCTGCTCAAGCGCAAGGACCAGAGTTCGATCCTCAGTACCAAAAAAAAAAAAAAAAGAATGACACATGTAGCCAGATATTTATGGAAAAGCAAATGGATTTATTGCAGATTTATACCTAATGGTCATTCATAGGACCACGTTTAATGGTCTTAATACTCTAATGGTCATTAATCACCTAACCTAATGGTCATAAATATGTGATCAATGAAGAGTCAATAAAAGAATAGCAAATAATTACTGAGTAGCCCTGTATGATTACCATAGGCTATATCATAAAATTTAATCTCAGTTTCTCTTCATGTGACATATACATACATATGGATACGTCTATATATATAAGTAAAAAGCAAAGATTATTTTAAAATCCACAAAACTGCATTAGTGATGGTTATCCTTATCCCTGGATAGTGAGATCATAGGCATAACTGGTTTCATCTTTATACTTTCCGGTGTTTTTCAAGTTCTGTGCAAGTATCGTTTTCTTTCATTATGCAAATTCTTTCAACTGTCATATGATAAAAGATGAGAGGAATCTGGTCATGTTTGTTAGAGAGGATTATTATACAATGATACAAGCTTTTAAAGAGAAACTGCCTCTTCTGCCCTTTTCAGGAGAGGGTTGTATAGGATGCACTTTTATCTGAATGGGACAATTCAGTGTAGAAAAGGGAAACGTACCCTAGTAATACTTAAGTACATGACTCTGTTCTTCTCCCCAACATCATTTCTTAGTTTGTTTCTTCTGAAGCCTCAAGGCCTAATGGAGTCTGAAGGTACAGCCGTACAATTTCATGGCATCTCAATCTTGAGCAGTGATTGCTTGATTGCTCAGACTCAGAGGAGTCCTATTTGAGAGTCAGCTTGGAGAGCCTATCAGGGGGTGATCTCCCTTCTTCCCATACCTTTTCCAAGGAGATCAAAACCTCCTTCAAAGGTTATGCCTGCCACAATGAGATGACAACCTTCTCTGAAGGAAATGTTTTAGGCTCTTCGGCCAACAACCTCCCTACCATTGAAGAACCTGAGGAAATAGAGTCTAAGAAGATGCATCAACAGGAGATATGAAACTCAGGACAATACAAGCCAAGTTTGCAAATCAAGCCTCAACTTCAGACTCTGATGATGAAGTCTCAGCAGCTGATCAGAATGTCACTGGCAACAACCAGCAAATGGATAAGAATCCAAAACTCAGAGGGCACAGAATGAACCTCATGAATAGCTGGCCAGAAATACAGCTTGTCCTTCCTGAGTCTGCTGAGAAAAGTAAAAATGATGACAGTGAAAATCAGAAGGACAATGAAGAAATTGAGAGCAGTGATGAAGAATATCAAGAACCTGATGAACATATTCAGAAATATGACAAAGACAATAGCCTCTAGCTCCAGGAATCACTCGAGGAAGATTTCCAGCAGGGCAGCACCTCCCCTCCACATCCAGCTCAGGTCCCTCATGAAGACCCCACCCAAGTCCCAGAGATGCCGCCTATGCTCAAGGAAGATGAAGTTGCTGAGGTGAGCAAAGAGCTGCCTCCTGGGAGACTGGGAGATGAGGGGACAGGCCCAGTGGAGGTGCTAGGTTGGACAGCATGGGGGTCACTACCTCTGTGAACCAGGGATGGGCCAGCATGCTGACAGGATGCACAGGGCAAAGGACAGGAGGGAAAAGAGTCAGGGAGGAGATGTAGGGAAAATACCAAGGAACTCTGAAATACATGGAGGGTGAGAGAAAGAAAAGGACTAATCATTATGCAAAAAAAAAAAAAAAAAGGATTTTTTTGGAAGGTCTCTGTGCTTCAGTATTGATATTGGGCATTTATAATTGGGCTATTTCTAGTAAAAGGATTTGAGTTCCATAAATGGGTAAATACTGGCTCCACTGCTGGGATGTTACATTTATCTAACTCATCCTTCTTTTCACAGGAGATGGTAAGTGAAAGACCAACAGTCAAAAGACCACCATAAAGATTCCTCCTCAGTCCCTCAGTACAGTCAGAGGAGGAGGACGACACTGGCCTGACACACAAACCATAACCTATATGAACTATAGGCAGGCTTTCTGCTGGCTCCGGAAAAGAGTTCTTGCTTGTTTTGGAGGAGAGTGATGGTCAGCAGCCCACCAGCAATCCCAACCAAGAAAAGAAGTAAGTCTTTGCAGCTCTGAAAAAATCCACCCTGAAGAAACCCTCACCATATTAACATAACCCGAATCCCCAGATTTTTAAACAATTTGCTGGCCCCAGTTCTATAATTCCTATAGGTTCATTTTTCTCAATAAAATAAATGCTCTTGTTCACCGGGTCTGCTTCTCCCAGGATATCTTCTTGACGCAGGCTGAAAGCAGACATACTGCATAGAAGACTGAAATGCATTCTCAGGAAGTTGCAGGTAGCATGGTGCTTGCTAAAGAGAAGGTGTGCTGCTTCTCTCTTTTCACTCCTGCTTCCCAGATTTTATTCAACTTTATTGACTTTATCCATTTCAGTATTTCATTCTGTTTTGTCACTAACTCATATCGCCATTTTTTTAAGACAAGGTCTTTCTGGCTTCAAACTCTCCACAATCCTCTGACCTCAGCCTCCCAGTGCTGGGATTACAGACATGTGCTACCATGTTTGGCACATCCCCATATCTAGAAGGAAGCAGCACAACCATTAGACTCTCGTGCGCTTTGGGGTGAACTTTCTGGGCTTGAGCAAGCAACAGTGCAGACCACCCTGGGCTACATGGTGAGACTCATGAAGAAATTTTTAAAGGACACCCGAAGTGAGCAGAGTAACTCCTAGTAAGAAGCAAAGCACCTTTAGGTGGGGCAAAGCGAGCCTCTTTCACATCAGCTGTCAGTGGTCACACAAGCAATCACATCTGAGGGGCAGGCAGAGCCGAAGAAATCCTAACACAGACTGCCCAGTCCTCATGCTTCCTTCAGTTTGCTCCCCAGGTCTATGCTGAGCTAACAGGTGCAGCTGCACTGGAGGCTCTGGTGGGCCTAGCACATCCCAAGTCTCCAGCTGAGGAGAGCAGGGGCAGGGATGTCTAAGTTGTGGTCCCCACAGGCTCCTCTGTGTTCTCCCAGCCTCTCTCTTTTATTTTAAAATTATTTATTTATAACAGTATAACTCACAGATTACTTTACTCTACTAATAACATTATTAGAGTTATTATCCTGTGCTCAAATTATCCCCAATTTGGTCCTTGGAAGCCACTTCAAAGAATGTCTGTGTCCCTGACATAGCTCTGTCTTTCCTTCAGCCCTTTCCTTCTTTATGACATATCAAATGTTCCTGGATCATCTTGTTCCTTCTCTGCTGCAGATCTAGGGTTAGCCCTTTAAGGAGCTCTTTTCTTGGAGAATAGTATTTAGAATATTCTGTGAGCTAGTTGATCTCATTGGTATTGGGGTGACATTACTTCTGGGTCCTCTTTGTAAGCAGAGATAAGAAATAAATGTAGTATACACACATCTCTTTCTGTTTTCCTCTGTATAAATATAAAAAAAACTGTAGGTGATCACAAGTTCAAATCCAGCCTGGACAACTGAGCCTCTTAGGGAGAGCCTGTCTCAAAATAAAAAATAAGAAAGGACTGGGAATGTAGTTCAGTGTAAGCCACTGGGTTCAATCACCAGTACTTCAAAAAACAAAAGCAAACAAAGCTATAAGTGCACAATAACTCTATCCCCAATCCAAACCCATTCTTCCTTGTTTGCAATTCTCTCACTGTGAGAAGCCTAGTAATCAGATATTTACTTACCTGCTCAGTCCAGGGATATACATAAAAGTTCAAAATCTTTCCTCCTTAAATGCATGGACATACAAGTAGTTACAAACTTGAGCAATTACATATAAACTTAAAAATGTGATTGCAAAAATCCTTACCTTTCCTTCTTATATGATCCATAGTAATTCTCTATAGCAAAGCAAATTTTCACCCTTTTATTGTTTCAAAGACCTTTAAAGGTTATCTTATTTCTTACCTAGGGTTTCATATTATTATAGGCTCTTTTTTAGTAATGTTCATAGAGGAAGAGTTGGGAGTGGAATCCAATGTATTATTCTTTCTTCTTCTCATTTTAATTAGAATAACCAAAACAGACTTGAAGAGGACTATCACTTAATCCATTTATTTTCTTTCTGTACCATTATGAGTATTTGTCTTTTCACATAGTTTAATTTTGAAATTAATAGAATAGGGAACCATTGGTGCTTCCAATATGCAAAGTGTGGACTACTCTCCAGTTTCTGAGAGAGGAGAATGAAAAATGCAAAGGGTTTCTGGAGATTTGTTGAGGTTACCCCAGGCAAAGACATTATCCACGTTAAAGAAATGATAGAATCGGGCAAATGCAGTTTTATTTGTATTTCTTTGTATTTAATACCCTAAAATTGTTGGGTCGGGCCTTTAAACAGGCTTGTGAGCAGCACTGCTGCCATGCCCATCATCACTGCAGAGGATCTCAGGTGTGCTGAGATGTTGTTGATGTAGGTTTTGTATGCAGAAAACAGTCCATGAGATTGTTCTCTGCACTCTACCTCATTGAAGCCTAGGGTGTCAGTCAGAGGTCTGAGCAGAGGCCATCAACAACCTAGTTTGTTTGCTCCAAGAAATTTACCAAGGTCTTATGTTTATTCAGAACAGAGTGGATGCTCTTCTGCAAGACCAGCTCTGTATCACATAGGAATGAATGAGAAAAACTGTTCATAGAATTTATGATCTCAGCACCTTGGATATGTCGAAGGCATTTACACTGCATTTCTAAGAGTAAGCCCAAGTAAGTAAAACTGTTAAAATTGCTCCCAGAACAAAGATTCTTTAAGTGTTTCAGAGAACAGTTTAGTTGCCTGTTATAAGATTGCACTTAAAAATTGAGGAAGTTACAGTAAGGTTTAATATGAAAAGATGAGAAAAGAGATACGAGAAAAGCATAAAAAATACAGCAGGATGGGAAAGATTGTCACACAAAGTAAAATTAAAAACAAAAGGTATAAAATGATATTAAAAACAATAAAAAGTACAAAAAAACAAAACTCAAGTAGTTGTTCCTCTGAATCTATGGGAAATAGGCCAGAACCCCTGCAGATATAAATATTTCTGAGTACCCAAGTTCCTTATATACAAGGGACCTTGTAAAATGGTATAATGTTTGCATACAAGGTACACACAGCCTCTTGTATACTTTAATTCATCTCTTTTTTTTATTAAACTCTTTTATTGGTACATTGTAGGTATACAACACAATTACATTTCTCATTGGGAATTGTACCTTTACATGATGCATCTTGGTTCTTATTTTT